TTCCGAATTGGTTTCTCATCGCTATCCCTCACATTTCCTGCTTTTCCTCTTTGCCACCTTCAGGTTACTGCTGCCTTCTCGCATTTTAAGTTAGTTAAAGTGTCCCGAAGCATCAGCTAGGACACTGTTTTCTTGTGTTCTCTCAGCCAGACCTCTCTTGACTTCTCATCAGTGAGAACTGTGTCATCTTTTAACTTTGGTCACTGACAACGGGAAAGGAATGACCATGATTGATTTACAGGTTAAGTATGTTCCCCTTGCAAGTAGAGTGGGGAAGTGGAATGCTAGATCAATTGAGGATTCTTCCAATCGGAAGAAGAGTGAAATAGGCAATGGACTCGTTTAGAAGTAGAAATCTGGCTATCTGTCTGTCTGTCGGTCTGTCTTTCTGTCTGTCTGTCTCAGCCCCATTCCCCCCTGTCCCACTGCCCTCTGGCTTTCTAGTTGTGGCTCTCTCACTCGCTCTACTCTTGGTCCCTCACACTTTTTGCTCTCAGAAGCATTTAGCTCGGTGTTGGGCTTCATATTCCATTAACGTTTCCTAATTGTGTTTTCTTTGGGAGCAGGGCCCTGCTGTATTAGTAATAAGCAATGTAATTTTGATTAAGGCACTTAACTTTTCTTGGCCTCAGTTTCCTCCAGTGCACAATAAGAGCTTTGTATCCCGTCTCCAAGACCTCTTTCAGCTCTAATGTATATTAGGGGGTCCATACAATTTTGTTCCATTCTCTGCTATTAAGGGAGAGACTGATGTACTAGAGAGAATATGTCCTAGCTCTGTGAGTTGAGCAAATTGCTTCAGTTTTTGAGTTGCAGGTTTTTAGTCTGTAAAAGTGGAATATTATATCTTTTTTATAAGGTACACTCTCTGAGATAACAGAGGCTCATAACATTGTTATTTTTCTTGTTTTAACAACCAGATGATAATAATAATGGAATAATGCTGTACTGGTTCCGTGTCAGGGAAAGAATTATTTTTTGTTAAATTGATTTCTCAAGTGTCACTTTAAAGGTTAAAGTCTCTCTCAATGTACACATGAAATATAGGTGGGTTGTTTAGAAGTATGTATCATATATTGAAATTGTAGTCGAAAAAGTATAAAGAGGATAGAATCCATTTTATTCTTGGTAAAAATTTGTGGTTTTTTTTTTTTGTTTTATTTTATTTTGTAGATCAGATTCCATGAGACAACATTTCTATAGTTGAGTCAAAGTTTAGGTTACAAAGAGTTGTTGTTCTTTAAGCACTTCTTTTCTTCTTTTCACTAGGTGCTCAATTGTTTGGACTATCTATCACAAGTCATCAGACTAGAGGCAGAGTTAATTTTTTCAGTAGCTCTGTTTAACAGTGGCACACTTAAACACGTCAGAGGCATAAACCTTTTCATCCAGATCCTATTTTCTATTAATCACGAACATTGAAATATTAGAGTACTTACGTTAAAATATTTTTTAATGAATAGTTTAAATCTTTGGCCAGCAGGCAAATTTTAAGATATAAGAGCGGTCCCTCTGAGCTGCTTGAAGTCAAAGCTTCAAGAGCTGTTAGCCATGAGCATCGCTAGATGGCAGTCTTTCCCCAATTGTGAGCCGTTTGTTTCGCGGGTGGGGGTGGTGATGGTGGTGGTGGAAAACTCCTTTTTGTTCCAGTACAGCGTTGGCTGCCCATATTAGTTATACTTCAGTAGACCCACGAACTTCCCAGATGTTAAGACTTGCTTATTTTTGTTTTTAACATTTTACGTCTGATCTGTTGGTTAGCACTGAATAAGGCTGAGAGATATTTGAAATGTTGATTCTAGGTGAACTGTAAAGTAATGATCAACAGTTGCCTTTTTCTGTGGTCAACGGTTTGAAAGAAAACGTTTAGGCCAGTGATTTTGTTTTTTAACTTTTTGGATTGCCAGATGGAAACTATAGACCAGTCACTCTTAAAAATACATATATGTAATTCTGCCTCCACATACAACATCTACATAAAATCTGGGAAATGTGGATTTCCTGATGTATACCCATGGAGCGAAGGTTTATTTATAGTCTCCAAGCCCCAGTTTAAAATGTGGGTTTTATTTTCTAGCTTTTAAAATACTCAGTATACCCAGGGGTTCTACTGTAAACCTGTCATGTTATTTAACATTATTGTAATTGAAGAGAATATTAGAGTGATAAAGGCCCCCAAATGGGAGAAACAAGTGGGAGACTTGGATAAGGATGTAGAGGACCATTAACGAGTTTGAAACCGCTTACTTATGCAATTCTGAAAATGGATGATTTGTACATTATTACTGACTGAACTTAAAAAGTGGAAGTGAATGGTAGAAATGTAAAGGGAGGCTGGTTTCTTTTTGGATAAGGGGGCCAGTGCCAGGAATTTATTCAGTGTCTGACACGCAAGACAGTTGCTCTGAGGGAGGCTGATTTGTTTCTGTTTTGGGGTCACACCTGGCCACGCTCAGAGCTTACTTCTGACTCTGTGCTCAGGGATCATTCCTGGAGCGCTCAGGAGACCAAACCTGTCTCCACTGCGGGCAAGGCAAGTTCTTTACCCGCTATTCTGTCTCTCCCGGGCTTGGGAGGCTGATTCTTAACATAATATGTAATTCATTGTTTCCTGTTTTTTTTTAATTTTTCATTTTTTTTAAATGAGAAAACTGAAGCTCAGAGAGATTAACTGAGTTATAAAAAGACACTTAGCAAGGTGATGGCAGTGCTAAAGCCAAATGCCTCACCGTCAACTGCTAAAAATCTACATTTCCTTTCTTAGATTTATTTATTTGTTTTTAAGTAGACATTCAGGGAAGGCAGTTATGGATTTCTTTGTCATATTCTCCTTGAGGTGGTGTGTGTGTGTATATGTGTGTGTGTGTGTGTCTGTGTGTGTGTGTGTGTGTGTGTGTGTGTGATCATAATGGAGATCCTTGTCAATTGAAGATTCTCTCTGTATATTTCAAACAGTTATTATAAGGCAGGCAGTTATTTTCCCAGTGTGTCTTAATTGTCAAAGTAGTATTGTTTGTAATTTATTGAAAGGTATCTTCCCTTTGTTCAAATTGAGATAAATGTAGATTATTCCAATTTTTTTGGAGTTAGTGTTCAAAACTTTTGCTGGGATGCTGAATTTGTTTATGTATTTATGGTTATTTTGTTGAGTTTTGGGTAGTGGAACTGATCTGCTAAGGAGAATGTACTTTCTGATATACAGAATCAGCGAAATGTTCTGTTACCCACAACTGTCATAGAACAAGAAAATGTTGGTAATAATCAAATATGTATTTCTGAGCACATCTCAGGGACCAGGACAATCTTACATAGAGAGTTATACATTAATTTATTTAATAGATATTTACTCACTGCCTGCTATCAGTCTGGTATTATTCTTGAGTTACAGTGTTGAATGTGGCAAAATTCTTGATTTCAAGTTTACTAATTGGGATAGTTGGGGGAGACTAATAGACAATAATAGAATTGAGTCATAGAAAGTTGTTTGAAAGTACAGGTGTTAAGCATTAATATCTTAAGGACTGCAAAAACAAAATTTTTGAGGAAAGAGGAGGCTACAAAAAAGAAAAAATAGTGTAGCTGGAGCATGCAGAATGGAGGAAAGCCAGGGATGGGACTAGAGAGAAGAGAGAAAAGAATTTAGATAAATAGATGAAAGTGTATAAGATTTTATGGTAAATTCTGAATATTTTGGATTCTTTTTAAAAGGTAAGTTATTGAAGATATTTTAAAATAGGAAATATTAAAATAGAAAATATTGTTTGAATTAACGTGTAACAAGATTTTAACCGCTGTGTGGTATTTTTTTTTTCTTTTTGGTTCACACCCAGCAATGCACAGGGATTACTCCTAGGTCTGCACTCAGGAATCGCTCCTGGCGGTCTTGGGGGACCATATGAGATGCTGGGAGTCAAACCTGGGTTGGCCACGTGCAAGGCAACTGCCCTACCTGCTGTGCTATTGCTTCGGCCCCTGTGTGGTATCGTTTTGAGTGGAGAGTGGAGGATCAGAAGTGAAGATATGGTTCAATATGTTGATGATGGATGTTTGAACTAGGGTTTAGTGGAGATGGAGATGGTGGGGATGGTAGGATGTAGTCAGTGCTGTATGTTTTGGAGATTGAATTGTAAAGGCTTAATGATGAATTAGATAGGATGTATAATGGAAAGAGATGGATTGGATTTTGCTTAAATGTTCTTAGCTGTGATGGGATAGATTTTGGGAAGGAAGAGGTGTGTGTGGTAGGAATAAATAGAGGGACCCTTTTTAAAATGCTGGATGGCATTGGTACTATAGAGTGTGTCTGGTGAGTCTTGTATAGAGTTGTGAAGCTAAACTCATGAAATTCTGAAAAGTGTAAAGCAGTGTTTCTCAATTTTCAGTGGTTTTGAGGTCATCTAGTTAGTGGTATTGAGCGGCCATTTTAGTTTGTAATTATATATGTAGTCCAGTCAGCACAGCTATGTGATTTTCAGCATTCACATTTTTGGGTATAGCCATGGAATAATTGACCCAAAAGTGAGTCCTTTTGTTTTTTGTTTTTGGGCCACACCTAGCAATGCTCAGGGGTTACTCCTGAATTACTCTTGGCGATTCTCAGGGGACCATAGGGGATGCTGTGGTTGGCCATGTGCAAGGCATACTCCCTACCTGCTGTACTATTGCTTTGGCTTAAAATCAAGTTGTCCCAGATTTATTTAATTGAGGAAAATAGATACTGAGGAGTTGTTATTTGGACCTGTCACTTGTTGATGAGAATACTGTGGTGAATATGATCAGACTCAAACATTTTTGAGTAAATGAGGAAGCAAAAATTTTTTTCCCTTCAAAGGTGGTCATCTCACTTTGGGATTGCTATTAATAAAATTAATTTACTCTGTGCTTTATGCCACTGAAATATCTAATTTCCAAATACATTTGCCTCTCAGTTTGTATTTATAGTTTTGTTTCTTTTTTTTGTCTTTTTGAAGTACATGTATGCCAATTTTTCTCCCCCAAAGGTCTGTCTATGATGGTGAGGAACATGGGCGGTTCATGGAGAAGCTTGAAACACGCATCCGCAATCATGACCGGGAAATTGAGAAAATGTGCAACTTTCATTACCAGGGCTTTGTGGACTCTATAACTGAGCTGCTGAAGGTGAGAGGAGAAGCCCAGAAACTCAAGGTAAGGAGACTCCGAGAGGTGCTTGCTGCCCTGTCGTGTTGCCAGGGTCTTGATTAGCACTAAATGAGAGGGAAAACATTACCTAGAACACAATTCATAGCAAAAATTTTTCATAGGAATCCGGGCCAGGGAGTTAATGGGAGGCTCCTGTTCCATCCCTGTACCCTATGACCCCAAAGCCAAACCAAACAGAAATTTTGTGCTGAAACACAGGTGACTGGGATGATGGCATTTTATCTAAAGAATACTATTTATGTTAGAATTTATTTGGGACTATCTATATATGGATAGGAGTCATGAACAGAATCCGTTGACTCTTTATGCTGTTTGTGTACTTTCTTGACATGAGTCATCCCTGTGGGATTATGGAATTTCAGGCTTGAGCTCAAATAGACATTATGCTGTTAAATTTTTAATTTTTACAATTAACGTCAAATGTATTTTTCTACAGTATATTAATCATTTGATAAAATGATCTTCTCTCTGGTTATTGCAGTAGTTGTGCTTGATTCCCTTCAGGGTAGGTTGTTCCAATATTGCTCATAACGGCCATTGGTTGCTTTGATTGTTTGCTACTTGGCACCTTTATTCCTTTCCCCACCTGAAAATTGCTTCAAGTTGTAAACTCCTCAGATTGTTCAGGATGTCCCTGAGGAACTAAAGAGACTTGTTCCAGGGTCCTTCTACTTACTCTGAGAGATGAGAGCATTAAAGCTCAGCAGCCCTGCTCTCAGTCTGTGCTAAGTTGTGAAATACTGAGTTTCTCGAACTATTGAAAAGAGTCTAGAAAATGGGGAAGGTTGATACTGTCAAGGCACAATGAAAATAAGTTATACTCTAGCATGGCCACTGTTTCTTTAAATTCACAGAAATATGAAGATTTTACTTATACTTAATGTTTAAGTATATAAACCTTATACGTAACGCTTTTTGAAGAAGGAGAAGTAGCATTCTAGATAGGCAATATAGTTTCTTTCATCATCGTGTTAAAATAATATTGAAATAGTGATTATGTTTCTTATCAGAACCATTGGTTAGGTCCTTATAAGATATGTTTTAGTATTGTGGCTAGCATGAAACTCATTTCGTGTCTGTGATTAGTGTTTCTAACAACAATTGAAACAGCAGAAAAATTAAGTATTATATGTAGTAAGGGTAAACACTGTACCTTGAAAATGTTTCAGTGGTGTGTTTTCTGCTTATATGCTTAGTTATTATACAGAATTTCTTATTGTGGCTTACAATGTAAAATATATTTCTTACAATGAGTATGAAGTAAAAAAAACCCCAAACAAATGATGCTTTTCTATGAGAGACAAGTATTTCATAGAGAAAATAATGTTGAGTTTAGTAGTGTTTATGTAAGGTTGCATCTTATGAAATCTCAAGTTGAAAATAACAGTTTTAATTATTGAGTGACCACTGTGAAGGGTATAACTCCATAAAGAGACAGATCACGTCATTGCCTTGCTAAAAAGCTTTTTTTGAACTAGAAATGGTGTTATTTTTTAATAACATCCATATACTGGTTTAAGTAATAGGCTCAGATTTTAGGGTACTATTTGGCTTTAGGTATTTACAGGATAGCTTCTGTCCCATATTGTAATTTGTAATTGTATAGTTTCAAGCACAATGTTTCCAAGTCAATACTTTTTTTCCTCTCTGGGATAAAATTCCTTTGAGTCGCTCTTCAGAACTATTCACTTCTCCATTGTGCTTCACCTTTGTCAGTAACTTCCCTGAAGTATAGCATCTGAACATAATTTTCACGGAGGATCCTTTTTTGTTTGTTCGTTTTTGGATCACACTGAGTGGTACCCAAGACTGACTCCTGGCTCTGCATTTGGGGATCACTTCTGGTGGGGCTCAGGGCATCATATTTGCTGGGGATCGAATCTGGATTGGCTGTATGCAAAGCAGGAGCCTTATCTGCTGTACTTTGGCTCTGACCCCTTATGGAAGATTCTTCAGGGTTACCGTATCACATATTCTAGACGAAGGACCAGTAAATTATGTTTGGAGAGGCCAAAGCCAGCTTGCTTTCCAGTTTCATAATTAAAATTTTCTTGGAACACAGCTGTACTCATTCAATTGCATTAAGCGTCCTATTTTCTACATTGGCAGAATTAAGTAGTAACAGACAATTATGTTACCTTTACAAAAATGGTTTGCGGACCTCAGTCATAGATATTGACTCTATTAATCAGCATTATGGACAGCTACATTATGTTCATTATTCATATTATGCTCACAATCCAATATTTTAGATTTCATTTCATGTATGATGCTGTTTTCAGAGTCCTCTTTGTGTCACAACCAGGTACTCAGGGGCTATTTTAGGCATAGTACTTGCAGAGGGGGCTAGAGGTCACTTAGGTCTAGTGTTTAGGGGACCATGTGGTACCAGGGTTTGAACCTGGGGTTCCTGCATGCAAAGCATGAGCTCCATCCCTTTGAGTTAGCTTGGTGGTTCTTACAGGTGGTGCTCTCGTAAATCGAATTGAGAGGGAATTTTCCATTACTTTTTTTGATACTCCATAAGGTCTTTCTGGAAGAGGTTTCTCTGAAAGAAGTGCATGAGATAATTTTTCCTGAAAATGATTGTTCCAGTATTGTTCATTGTTTGCGGCAGTTTTCATGAGAAACCAGTGTTCTGAAATGATCCTCAATGAAAGGGTATTTTGTTAAATAATAATTGGGAAAAAATATGTGATACTCCTTTCTTGGGCGTTTAGCATACACATAGACTAGCAGAGGCCTTAAACGTCCAGAATAAATGAACCTGTGTATTGGTATTTCTCTGTATGTTTCTCTGTATGTATGCACACACTTATTCACATACGTTTGTCTCCACCTATGTAGTGCTTGCTAACTAACTTTACTGGAGGTTTTAAGTGGTTGTGACTTCGTAGGATATTGTAAAACTTAAAATTTTGTTTGAAAAGAAATTTCTTTATGATTTATTATCAGTAAATGTTTGCTATGTTTACCTATGATATATATCTACTTGGACTCATATAAAAATTTCTGGGATGATAAGAAATTGCTCCCGGAAAAAGTTTAGGCAGTCCTGCTCTAAGGTACATAATTGGGAATGGCAGGCCAGGAAAAATATCTTCACACTTCTAGATTATCTTACGTTTTGTTCACAGGGCTTAGGCTACCTGATAGATTAATTCAGAAAAATGAGAATACAGAAGTTTGAGAAACCATTATAAATTATCAAGGAGTTGGCGATGTAACACAGCAGATAGGGTGCTTGCCTTGCACATAGCCAACTCGGGTTTGATTTCTAGCTTTTTTTGATACTTTTTTACCTGAGCATATGACAAGTGATCCCTCAGCACTGCTGGGTGTGGCCCCTCAAACAATCCCCCCCCCCCCCCCCCCGCCCCAGCACCAAACATATTAATGGTTCGTAAAGAATTAAAATAAAACATTTGGGGGCCAGAGTGATAGTACAATGGGTAGGACACTTGTCTAACACACAGTCAACCCTTGATCCTGGCACTTCCGATGGTGTTGCAAGCCGGCCAGGAGTAATCCCTGAGCACAGAACCAGGAGTTGTGACCCAGGAACCAAAACCAAACTAAAACAAAAACAGATCCTAATACTGAAATAATAAACAGGGAAACTTTTATATGAGTTATAAAGTTCCATTTATACCTACGTACAATGGGAGTACACTAGTGAAGTGAGGAATGTTTATGATAAAATTAGGGTTTTTTCTTTTTTTTCGTACATTATGGTAAGATTTTTTAGTGATCTATTTTTTTCCCTTTTCTTTTTTCTTCCAAAGTAAAAAGTGATCTTTTTATACGTTATAGTATTTTACCTTGAAATGTTCTAAAACATGATCTTTCAGTAATTTTTCCTTTTTATTGTTCAAAAGTTCATGCAAACATCCAGTAGAAAAGTTAATATAATTTTAATTTGAGACAATCAATGTAATGGAATCCTGAAACTACCTTAATACTTAATATTTGCAGTTGAAATTTTAATCTTTTCTACCTCTTGTCTAAATGTGTTTTTTTAAAATATATATATATGATTTTAAATTGTCTTCTCTTCACAGAATCAAGTGACGGATACTAATAGAAAACTACAACATGAGGGAAAGGAAGTAAGGACAGTTTAATTTTTGAAAAAAAATCTTTTCTGTTTCCTATTATTTTTTTTTGATGGCTAGAATTCTTTATTTAGTGACTTATAAGACCACAAGCAGTATGTTGAATTAATTTGGATGTAATTATTGCTTCTTCTAATGTTTATCTGAATTAAATGAGTATACCTAGTAAAAAGCTTAATGAAAGAGGAGGTAGCTTTCCTTCACTGTGTTTTTAAAACATCTGCCAGCATTATCCCTTTTGTTAAAAAAGCAATTTCCCCTATATTTACTTACTTCAGATCTTTTCGTAGATGTTACTGCCGTAATATGCCTTTTCTCTAAATACTTTATTTGAAATTGGAATTTCTTTCTCACTCCTTGTATTCTTTTTGCTTTTTTTACTTGATTCTCCCCCCCTACAGTACCCATCATATTCTGATATTACGTATTTTTACTTATATGTTTGGGGTTTCCCCCCTCCCTCCTATAGAAATAAAGCTTAATGATGCCAAAAATTTTGATTTAATTTTTCATTGCTGTATATCCATTGCTTTATGTCCCTTTCACTCACCTACACTGTGATTGACACACAGCGGGTGCTCCATAAATAATTTGTTTAAAAATGGATCATTGATTCTATGAATTGATAAAGTTGTGATTTACACAGTCACAGTTTATAAAATTAATTTACGTCCATTATCTCACTTGATCCTCGTGGCTATCCTACGATAAAGTCAAACTGGTATTATTACTGTTTTATTAATTAAGGAAGTTGAAACTGACTTGCTGAAGTATATATGGTACTTGACAAGAGTGGGACTAAAATCCAAGTTTCCTGGTTTATGAGCTTTATGCTCTTCTATAATGTAAGTTCTTTATGACTGAATAACTTTCAGTGTTTAATTTTTAATCAGCTTTTGGTAATTGATAATTTGATTAGCACCATTTTTCTTTTTGAATATATCTAAACATACAACAATTTTAGTTTTGGGTAGGGGATGAGTATTGTAAAAGACTGCATATTATTGCTTTAAAAATTTGCCTCATGCCCTTTAAATTATGCAGAGTGCAGTTTCTTTTAGTCATATTGTAGTATGACGCCACATGGAAGTCGTTTAAAATAGCTAAGGGAGGAAAAGTTACTCTTCAGTCAGCTGAAGCTCTTGAAAAAGCCACAGCTTCTAAGTGTGTGGTGTGTTTGTTGAAATGGAGATTTAATTGACAGTTACTTTTGACTCATTTAAAACTGAATAGGAAGGTCTATTGTGCTCTAGGAGTCTAAAACTGATGAAAGAAATATGTAGTCTTCTAAGAAGTTTGATGAAGCCATAAATCATAGTCTGAATAGGTTTTGGAGAAGATCTCGAAATTACTTTCATTGCTCCTGGATAACCCCGAATTTCAGGATTTCATTTTACCTAGCTTTACTTAGTATAGTGTGTATCTTAGTGAGAAGATAGGAGACCATGCAGGAATGTTTTACTGGTTCAGAAACGCAGTTCCTTGGCAGATCTAACTCTGGAACTGTCTGGGATTTTCTGATGAATTGAACACAGGGTGGAAAAATGTGACTGAAAGACGTTTTATTTACAGCTGTTGGCATAATTCAGTTTTTTTCCCTCTTGCCAAGCTGGTAATAGCAATGGAAGAGCTGAAGCAGTGTCGACTACAACAGAGAAATATTTCTGCCACTGTTGATAAATTAATGCTGTGTCTTCCAGGTGAGGAACTGCAAATGCTATAGGATTCTTGATACAATTCCTTTAGCTTTAATTAGTCTTTTGATTTCTTTAAATAATGCTTATGTATTTTTCTCCTCTTCCCCCCACACCCCCTTTTTCTTTCAAGTTCTCGAGATGTATAGCAAACTGAGGGACCAGATGAAAACTAAAAGGTAAGGCTTTGTTTGTTTTGGCCACTCTTGGCTGAGCTTAGGGTTTATTCCTGGTTCTGTGTGCAGGGACTATTGCTGGCAGGACTCAGGGGGCCATATGTGATTCTGCTCGGAACTGAGGTCGGCTGTGTGCAGGTCAGGTGCCTTACCTGCTGTACTATCTGTCTAGCCCAAGGTTTCTTTTATGTAATTGAATAATTTTTATTTATGCCAGTTGACACGTGTAGTTAGTTACCTCAAGGGGTGAGACCAAGATTCAGTTTCAGGATTCTTCTCTTTTGTATTTTCCTCTGGTTTTAATTTTGAGGGACATTGATAGCAATTCTTCGACTCTTCTTCCTAAGAAATAGGAGTGAGCATCCCACCCTCTCTGTTCTGTGGTACCCTGTGGTACGATGGTGGTATGTGAGGTTGTATGACAAGCAGTAGACTTCTTGGAATGTTAATTTTATTCAGGTTTTGCAGGAAAAAAAAATCACAGAATTTAAAAATGCTTAATATTGTAGCAAGGCTAGAGATAGCTTATGAATAGACATCTAAGTTCTTCAAAAATTTTTTATTGTTTAAAAAATAGTTTAATTTAGGTTAGATGGTTACAATTGATAAACAAAGTTGTTTCACCCTACCACCACCAAGGTGCCTACAACCCCCCACTACTATTTCTTATGTCGCCTTTAGTTTTCACATCTTCCCTTTCTCTCTCCGCCATTTCTCCTTCCATGTGGTAATTGGTTCTATAATTGAGATGCAACACCATGTATTTCTTTGTTTTGTCTTTCTGTAGCCCACAGATAAGTGAGTCATCTGGTGTTCACTCCTTCTGACTTCTTTCATTTACATGTTCTCCTGGACCAGCCACGTTGTAGTGAACTTCCCGATTTCATCTGCAGCTGCATAGTATTCTGTTGTGTATAGAGGCCACAATTTTTATATCTGTCCTGTGTGTGTTTCCCATGGGATATGATGTAGTGAAGAAGTTCTGGGGCGTGAGGCAAAAGACAGCCTCCCGTCCTTAGAGTCCCTCTGTGTGCTTTCAGCTGCTCCACATGGGCTTGGGGATGAAAGGGTTCAGTGTACAGGAGAGTGGGGTCTAGGTAGCAATGTTTCTTTCTTTCTTTTTTTTTTTCTTAAATTTTTATTAGTGAAACACCATGAGGTACAGTTGTAGACTTACAAATTTTTGTGCTTGGGTTTCAGTTATACAATGATCAAATACCCATCCCTCCACCAGTGCCCATTTCCCACCACCACGGATCCCAGTATCCCTTCCACCCCCCATCCCCCCATCCCCCCCTACCCCTGTGGCAGGGCATTTCCTTTTGTTTTCTCTCTCCTTTTGAGTGCTGTGGTTTGCAAAAGAGACATTGAGTGGCAATCTTGTTCGGTCTATAGTCTACTCTCATCACGCACTTCCCATCCTGAGAGGAACCTCCCAACACCCTTTATTTGGTGCTCCCTTCTCTATCTGAGCTGCCTTTCCTCCTAGCATTTGCGGCTGTCCTCAAAGCCATGGAGTAATACTCCTGATACTTATCTCGGCTATTCTTGGGTGTTAGTCTCTTATTTTGTTACTTTATGTTCCCCCGATGAATGCAATCTTTCTATGTCTGTCCCTTTCTTTCTGACTCATTTCGCTTAGCATGATACTTTCCATGTAGTACCACTTGTATGTAAATTTCATGACTTCATCTTTTCCAACAGCTGCATAATACTCCATTGTGTAGATGTACCAAAGTTTCTTTAACCAGTCATCTGTTCTCGGGCACTCAGGTTTTTTCCAGATTCTGGCTACTGTAAAGAGTGCTGCAATGAACAAACAAGTGCAGATGTCACTTCGACTATACTTTTTTGCCTCTCTGGGATATATTCCCAGGAGTGGTATTGCTGGGTCAAATGGGAGCTCAATTTCTAATTTTTTGAGGATCATCCATACTGTTTTCCAAAAGGGCTGAACCAGTCGGCATTCCCACCAGCAGTGAAGGAGAGTCCCTGTCTCACCACATCAGCGCCAACACTGGTTGCTTTTGTTCTTTTGGATGTGGGCCAGTCTCTGTGGTGTGAAATGATATCTCATTGTGGTTTTGATCTGCATCTCCTTGATGATTAATGATGTAGAGCATTTTATCATGGTCCTTTTAGCCATTCGGATTTCTTCTTTGAGAAAGTTTCTGTTCATTTCGTTGCCCCATTTTTTAATGGGGTTGGTTGTTTTTTTCTTGTGGAGTTCAGTTCGTATTTTGTATATCCTTGATATACAAATATATATTTAATTAAATATAATTAATTTTTTTATTAATTAAAAAAATTAAATAAAATCAAAGCTACCAAATGTAACCTGCCCACACGGCAGAGTCTGGCAAACTCCCCGTGGTATACCCAATATGCCAAATACCAGTAACAATGATGGGTCTCATTCTCCTAACCCTTGAATATGGCACTTTTAAAAAAAAATCTCAGGGCTAGGATGAAGAAGACGTTACTGGAACCTGCTCGAGGCAATCGACAAACAACAGGGTGGTCGTGATTGTGATCGTGATAGCCTTGATATCAACCCCTTGTCAGATGTGTATTCGGAGAATATCCTTTCCCATTCTGTAGACTGTCTTTGTATTTTGGTCACTGTTTCTTTTGAGGTGCAGAAGCTTCTTAGTTTAAGATAGTCCCATTTGTCTCTCTCTGTTTTCACTTGCTTGGCCAGTGGCGTGACATCTTTGAAGATACCATTAGCTTCAATGTCATGGAGGGTTTTGCCAACTTTGTCTTCAATGTACCTTATGGATTCCGGTCTGATGTTGAGGTCTTTAAATCCATTTTGATCTTACTTTTGTACTTGGTGTTAGGGACAGATCTGAGCCCACTTTTTTGCATGTAGCTGTCCAGTTTTAGGCAATAGTGTTTCTTTCCCTCCAGTTATCCCTACCCTAATTTTCAATGGGGTTTGGGCTTTTGTTGTTGAGCTTTGTGAGTGCTTTATAGATCTTGGATATTAGCTCTTTATAATGTTTTGTGTGCAGATATTTTCTTATACTCAGGTATCTTTTTATTTTAACCTGAGTTTCAAAAATACCATGTCTCCTGAAGAATGGAAGAGTTTTTTTAAACCACTCAAAGTAACCAAACTCTTTTTAAAAAACATCTTAATTTTTTAATCGAATCACTGTGAGATACACAGTTACAAATTTGTTCATGATTGAGTTTCAGTCATAAAATGTTCCAGCACCCATCACTCCACCATTGTTCATTTCCCACCACCAATGTCCCCTGTTACCTGCCTCCCTTGCTCTACTTCATATTTCTTGGTCCTTTATCTACCCCACCCTCTTCTTTGGCAGATACTTTTCTTCTCTCTCACTCCCTCCTCCCTTTCTCATTCTCTCCTTTTGGGCATTATAGTTTGCAATACAGATAATGAAAAGTTATCATGTCAATCCCTTTACCTACTTTCAGCAATCCTTCCTTGTCCAGAGTAATCATTTCCAAGTATTATTGTCATCACTATGACAATTCCTTCTCTATCCTAACTGCCCTTCACCCCCACATACTTGTGACAAGCTTCTAAGTGTGGTCCACATTTTTACTGGTCTTGGATTTTAGCCTCCTATTATATTTATTTTTTATATATTCCACAAATAAGTGCAGTCATTCATTCCATGTCTCTCTCCTGACTCATTTCTTTCACTCAGCACAATACTCTCTATGTTCATCCATTTAAAAGCAATTTCCATGACTTCATTTTTCCTGGGTGGCTGCATAGTATTCCATTATGTAGATGTACCATAATTGCTTTATGAAGTCGTCTGTTCTTGGGCACTTGGTTGTTTCCAGATTCTGGCTATCGTGAATAGTGCTGCAATGAACACAGATGTGCAGATGGCATTTATACTGTTTTTGGGTCCCAGGATATATCAGCAGAAGTGGTATTGCTGGGTCAAATGGGAGCTCAATTTCTAGGTTCTTGAGGAATGTCCATATTGTTTTCCAAATGAGACTGGATCTGTTGGCACTCCCACCAACAGTGAAGGGGAGTCCCTTTCTCCCTGCAAGTGCATCATCATTGGTTCTTCTTGTTTTTGGATGTGTGCCAATCTCTGTGCTGTGAGATGATACCTTTGGTTGTTTTGATTTGCATCTCCCTGATAATTAGTGATGTAGAGCATTTCCTCATGTGCCCTTTGACCATTTGGATTTCTTCTTTGAGGAAGCTTCTATTCATTTCCTCTTTTCATTTTTTGATGGGATTGGATATCTTTTTCTTGTAAAGTTCAATACCAGCACCTTATATATCTTTGATATTAACCCCTTATCAGATAGGTATTGGGTAAATAATCTTTCCAATTCGGCAGGTCATCTATGTATCTTGGCCACTGTTTCTTTTAAGATGCAGAAGATTCTTAGTTTAATGTTGTCCCATTTGTTTATCTTTGTTTCCACTTGCTTGTCAGTGGTGTTTTGTTCTTAAAGATGCCTTTAGCATCAGTGTCTCAGATGGTTTTGCCTATGTTTTCCTCCATGTGCCTTATGGTTTCAGGTCTGGTATTGAAGTCTTTAATTCATTTTGATCTGACTTCTGTGTCTGGTGTTAGATTTCTGAGTTCAGTTTTTTTGCGTATAGCTGCCCAGTTTTCCTAATACCACTTGTTGTAGAGACTGCCCTTGCTCCACTTCATATTTCTTGGTCCTTTATCAAAAGATTAAGTGATTGTATATTTGAGGGTCTGACAGAATATTCAACTCTATTTCATTAGTCTGTGGGTCTGTCTTTATTCCAGTACCATGCTATTTTAATTATTATCACATTGTAATACAGTTTGAAGTTGGGGAAGGTGATGCCTCCCATATTCTTTGTCCCCCAAATTGCTTTAGCTATTCATGGGGGTTTATTGTTTCATATGAATTTCAGGAGTGTTTGATCTATTTCTTTGAAAAATGACATAGGTATCCATTAGAAAATTCTAGAGACTCCACAGAAAAACTCGTAGAAAAATTTGTATATTAAAGTG